AAGATTACCGTTGACGCGGCCAAAGTCGACAAAGCCACCTGCGGCTTGAATACGTGCTTTCTCGGCTGGAAAATATTAGCAGTGATTGCAAACTGTTGGCGTGTTTGCTTACCCTCGTTCTGCGGCTTGTGGTCGAATGAAAGAGGCTTTGCCCTGCCCTTTACTCCTAGAACAGTGCGCGAGTCACCTGCGTTGGCCTGTCTGTGTGAGCGTCGCAACGTGGTAGGATGCGGGGATGACATACGACGTAGATTTTGTCTTTTGTCAGGACGCCGACTGATGCCGTGCAACCAGACACTTCTTCTTCGTACTTGGGATCTGTTGGCAGGTGTCAGGTGGCCCGTGATAGATAGGGATGATGTTGACAGTCAACTTACCACACAGAATCTCGCGATCTGTTGCCAGGAAGCCGTCTTGCAGAGCCTTTTTGATGTCTCCCTGTTTGAATGCTTCTTGCTTTGCGACAATCTTGTGCAGCTGCTCACCAGCATACAACGCCACCTTGTCGCCACCGTGTCCGTCGTACACACCGAAGAAGGCCAGTCGCTTGTCGGTGGGCGTGCCCTTGGTGTCGTCGGCATTGAAGTCTAATACGGTGGCATGTGCGTCCTCCATGCTGATGCGCCAGCCCTGCATCGAGGAGACACCGTAGATGAGTGACTCGCCCTCGCCATTTTCAGATTTCTAGAAAGATGCAATGTCAGCATTTCAGATCACGCAACACAGCATGCGCGCCGTGCCCGGGCGATGCAAAGCGACAGTCGCCGCGTTTCAAGGGGGGGGGGGGTGGAAAGAAGGACACAGTGCGGGGGCGGGGGTGGGCGGCAGCATTGGGAGGCAATTACCTTGTCGACGACGGGCTCGGAGAGTGTCTGACCCATGTTGTCCGGTATCTAGGAGGAGTGGTGGGAGAAGAGGAAAAGGAATCTGAGGGTCGGCGAGGTCGTGGCCGGGAGCATAGAATTGCAGACAGTGTCGAGGGTGGTGTGTGTGGGGGTATAATTCGGGAGATGTGTAGGCGTAGGGGCCAGACAGGAGCAAGTCTAGTGCCGTGCGGTGGAACAGAAACGGAGTCCGGACCAGAAAGACAGGGAAGAAGAATTGCGTGCTCTAGCTCGCGGAGAGGGGGGAAAGGGAAATTCAACAGGTCGGCTTGGTGTTGTAGGCAAAGAAAGTGACGCTGCGCTACCTGACAGCCGCCAGCAAGGCCGTGCACGCTAGGGGCTGTGGCTGTTTGTTCGAGGCCAAACGCGATGACGACGGGGAGCGCATTCTCTGTGCCGTTGTTCCCCACCAGCTCTCTTGTTGTGCACGACTGATTTGATCCCTTGCGCTTCAGCCTACAAATACGCGCTGGGCTAGGCCTGGTCCGCTGTCTTGTGTGCCGCCTCGAGGCTGTGCACCGCAATGGCTCGTCAGGCAGCCGGCACAGCGACGCTTGCTTTTGCCCTCGCCTGCTTGCAGGAGCTCGCGTGCCACTCAAAGACGGCAGCACTGCCGCCCTGCCTGGCCACTCTTATCGGCTTGCTCTGTCGAGAGAGGAAACTCTTTTTGCTTGTCACGGTCAACCGCCAGTCCGGAACTCCCATAGGGTCCACATGCCGCGTCGGGGTCCGTTGCTTAGTCCGTCGGGTAGGCCTGCAGAGGGGCCAGTGGCTCCCACATGTACTACTTACTTACTACACGCTCCCTGCCCATACTCACCTCTACTTGAGACACGCGCACACTGCTACACTCACTTTGGCAACCCTTCTGGCAAGGCGGTGCTCGCTTGCGACGGGGCTGCGGCTGTCTCGACCAGCATCCTCGTGCTCATCCACGTCTCACCAGGTTGCCATGACAGAGGTCGAGAGAACACGCGCTAGCCCCAACGTTGCTGCATCTTTGCTGATGAGTGCCATCGTTGTCCAGGCAGGTATGCCCGTGTACTGACTTTGTATCTACACATGTGACTGCGACCTCGAACTCTGCACATACACGACTGCATACACGACTGCATACATATACGACCGGCTTCGGGGGAGCCCGTACCGACTGTGCGTTGTCGGGTCGATATTCCAAGAGCTCGCTTCTACCAATCGCCTGGGCCAAATCCGTCCCAGATGCCTCATTGGTCAAGTAGGGTCTTCATCTGACGCAAGGCTGGGCTTCTGGGCTTAGCCGCACCTACAACATGTGCATTATCACGAGCGCAGACAACAGTCACTCTATGGCTCTGCTTCCAGTCATGTTCACGTCTCGGGCTTTCATCTGATCGCAATCGGGCCTGACGCGCGCCTCGTGCGGAAGATAAACCTCGGAACTTTGTCTAGCGCGTCATGGACCTTCTGGGCACAGATCGGCAGCCGAGGCTCACCTCGTAACCCATACTTATTCATTCCCCCAGACAACTTTCCTTCCCCACGAACTCAATCATCAATCGCCCATCACAATGAAGCAAACTCCAGACTGGGTCAAGCAGCTTAAGCCTTCGGGCGTCCAAGGGCATGAATTGCTCGCAGCAGAACGCGCCGGCTCAAACGTCCCGGTGCAGGACCTGGAGGTCCTTCTGCACACTCAAGAAGTCATCGCCATGAGGCACAAGATCCTCGACATTCTCAAGTCCGAGAAGATCTTTGACAAGTCACAAAACTACTTCATGGGCAGGATAGACAAGTTCGAGCGTGCTCTTGCAAGAGAGAAGAGGTTGAGGATCTTGAAGAAGCAGCACAACTGGAATCTCGAGGAATTCCGAATGGCCATGGAGCTCGTTGGTGAGCCTGGTCCATATGGTCTCCACGACTCCATGTTCAAGGCATGTCTCCTTCGCCAATTGAATTGATCATGCGTTGACAGTATACAGGTGACATTGGAAGGCCAAGGCACCCCCGAACAGCAGGAGAAATGGCTCACAAAGGCCAATGACTACAAGATCATCGGTTGCTATGCTCAGACTGAGCTTGGCCACGGTTCCAACGTCCGTGGGCTTGAAACAACAGCTACCTGGAACAAGGACGACAAGACCTTCACCATCCACTCGCCACACCTGACAGCCAGCAAGTGGTGGATTGGATCATTGGGAAGGACAGCCAACCACGCCGTCGTCATGGCTCAACTCATCATTGATGGAAAGTCCTACGGACCTACCCCATTTTGTGTCCAGATCCGAGACCTGAAGACACACGAGCCGCTCGAGAACATTCACATTGGAGATATTGGCCCCAAGTTTGGATACAATACCATGGACAACGGTTTCCTTCTGTTCAACAAGGTCAAGGTTCCGCATATCAGCATGTTGGCTCGTTACACGCACGTGGATCCCACCACCAACAAGTTTGGTCGCCGTGGCGCGCCATCTCTCGTCTACGGTACCCTAACTTGGGTTCGGTCGACGATCGTCATGCAAGCCGGTAGCGTACTCGCTCGTGGTGTGACCATTGCAACTCGTTACTGTGCCGTACGTCGCCAGTTCCAGGATCGCGATGCTCCTGCTGGTGAGGCTGAGACTCCCGTTCTCAACTACACCATGGTCCAGATCCGTCTGTTGCCGCTCCTTGCAGCAACTTTCGCCCTTCATTTTACCGGAAAGGCGATGATGGAAATGTACCAAGAGAACCAAAAGAAGATTGCACAGGGCAATGCAAGCAACGCACCAAGCAAGCGCGGTGCCGGGCCTGAGGAAGTCCAGTCTGGCAGTGATATGCTGGCGGATCTTCACGCTTCATCTTGTGCGCTCAAGTCGCTCAGCAGCTCCATCGCCTGTGAGGGTCTCGAGGTCTGCCGACGTGCCTGCGGTGGTCACGGCTACTCTAGTTTTAGTGGCATCGGACCTTGGTACTCTGACTACCTGCCTACCACTACTTGGGAGGGTGACAACTACATGTTGACACAGCAAGTAGCTCGCTACGTAAGTTTCATCCCTTTCGATAAAGATCGCATTATACTGACATTCTTCACAGATGCTCAAGTCTGTTCGCTCCGTCCTCAACAAGGAGAAGCCCACAAACGACACCACTCAGATTCTCTCCGAGTTCCACTCTCGCCGCAACATTGGCTGCGCCTTCGACGTCATTGGCTCAGACGAGGATCTCGTCGCTGCCTTCGCTTGGCGCGTCTCTTTCCTTGCCTTCGAGGCCAGCAAGCACCGTGATGAGCAGAAGAAGCCCTGGAATGACCTTCTCGTTGACTTCTACCGCCTGAGCAAGGCTCACGCTCAATACATGGTCGTCAAGACTAACCTCTCCACGCTCAAGAAGATTGAGCAGGAGGGCAAGATTGACAAGAACCTTCTTGAAGTCCTCATAAAGTTGTTCCGCCTTTTCGCTCTGCACACACTTGAACAAGAAGGCGCCGAGTTCTACACCTCGGGTGCCTGCAGCAAGATTCAGATCACGCTTGCAAGGACAAACACTGTTATGAACTTGCTCAAGGACATCCGCCCCCATGCCGTCAGGCTTGTCGACGCATGGGGCTTCGACGACTGGGTCCTGGACAGCAGTCTGGGCCGCGCAGACGGAAAGGTGTATGAGGACATGTTCTATAGGGCCAGCGAGCTCAACCCCCTCAACGACATTACTGTCGACCCATACCCCGACAGCGATGTTTTGTTCAAGCGTATTGAAAAGAGCAAGTTGTAAATGACGTTATGTCATGAAGCTGTCTTGATGTTAGATGTATTTGTAAACAATTAGACAAGATACTCATATAGAAGCTTCTTAATAAGATTACTACTTTTAAGGTCTTGCATTTTTTGTTTCTATCTCAGTAAATATGTTTTGTATAAATGCTGACTACCTTAGCTATTGCTTTTTCCCGGAAAAACTAATCCGGAGAAAGTGGGGACAAGGCGTCCTACTTCGCTATACATACCAACAGCAACAAATGATATCTCAAAATAACCTAACCATGCCACTTATTTCCTTCTTTGCTACCACTCTTCACGCATAAAAAAAAGTTGTAAATACTCAGAAACTTAACTCCATACCTCTCTCAATCACCCATTCTCCTCTCATATCCAAACAATGTCTTCTGCTCCCACTACCACCACCACCACCACAGGACTCATCCTATCCTTCATCCAACCCACATCTTCTTCATCTTCTTCCTCTTCCTCCCCCGAAGACAATAGCAACAACAAAGATAGTACAGAATTCGCTCTCCTCCCCCAACTCTTCACATCCCACATCCTCGGCACAACCCGTTCGACCTTTTACAAAGCAGCCAACGCCTCGTACCCCAAACACCATCTTCTCGTCAGCTTAATGGACGATGTTGCGCATGTGAATGTAGAGCAGGTGGCCAAGTTTTGGGCGGGCGAGAGGGTGGTGCACGGGGAGGCGGATGTTAGGGGGTTTAGCGAGGTGCAGGTTTATGAGAAGGAGAGGGGGAGGGGTGTGGGAAGGGGTAGGTCGTTTTTCTTCTTCTTCTTCTTCTTCTTCTTCTTCTTCTTCTTCTTCTTCTTCTTCTTCTTCTTCTTCTTCTTGATATTGCTTTTTGGTTGTTACTGGGATGGGGGGTGGGTGAAGAAGACGAATGAGAACGTGGAAAGAAAGTGAGATAAATTGAGCCATTACTAACATTCATCCTCTCTCTTCATTCAGATAACCCTGCGCATACGCTCCTTGTAGCGCTTATGCAGCCTGCACCGGATGGTGCTGCGGACTTGGATTCTTGGTACCGCGATGAGCATAATGAGCAGATGTCGAAAGAGCCTGGTTGGCTGCGTACGTGTCGGTATTCGTTGGTTGCGCAGAAGGGTGGCGATGAGAAAGAGAAGGAGTTGTCGTTCTTGGCTATTCATGAGTTTGATGAGAGTAATGAGTTGGGGGATACAGTCAAAGCGCTTGAGCCTGTGAGCGAGTGGACGAAGAAAGTCATGAGTGCAGCAGTGGGTATTGACGCTGCTGTTTATCGAAAGGCCTGAGAATTTCAGTTGCTTAAAGTTTCCCTCTTTACAATTTCCTGAATAGGAAGTTCATATATCTTCATATATACCACTAAGCCACCAAAATAAAAAGCCTCGCCGAAAAAAAAGACTAACAATCAACACAAGGTATCGAAGTAGAATAACTAACTCAAATCACCCAGGAAAATGCACTTCCAACCCTTCCCACCCAAAATATACCCGCAACGCCCTAATAGCTAAATCATGACTTATCGCCAACACCCCGAACACCACAATATTATCACTTACATACACATGCCGCAACGCCGGCAGCAAATCCCGATACCCCGTCTCCTTCACACGGCCCTGCTGCGTCCCCGCCGCCAACCTCTTCGCCAGTCTCGAATCCACGCGTATACTCTTAATACCCCGACATATATCGGGTCCCAATTCGTACACTGCGGCCATGCAGTCATAATAAGCTGTTAGGTCGAAAGTAACGAGTGCGTTGAAAGTTGGAGTTGCTTCCTTGCGGGTTGTTTTGCAGGTTAGGAGGAGGGAAATTACTGATCGGTATTTTTGGGCGCTATGGGATTGCAGTGGAGGTTCGGTGCCTAGGGAGGAGTAGGATTTTGGGCGCACGTGGATGGTTTGGTGGGTGAATGTGTGTTCGTAGATTATTAGGCGGAGTTCGGCTGGGAGACTTAGAAGGCTTGGAGCTGGGTCGATGTTTCTGTTTTTTTTGGAGGCAGGGGTTAGTTGAGTCTGGTTTCTTGGGTTTGAGTTCTTTGATATTGTTCGAAAGTCGCACGTACCGAGTGTGGTCTTGTGTAGGAGTTTGTGTGGCGAGGCCTTCTGGATTGCAGGATTCGGATGATGCGTCATTCATGGTGTGCCGGTGGCAATCTCGAGTCACCAAATTTATTCTGTTTCACAAGGGACTCGAGAAATAACAAAGTATGTAATGTTGGTCTGGGGAGCTAGATGAGATGATGTATGCATGTGCCGCCATTCGGCGATAAGAGCGTATGTCATGTTACTTATCTCCGGCGCGTCTTTGAGATTTTGGCGCGTCGAGCTTCCCAAATTTCGTCACTGCGCCGTTTGCTGTGGAGTCCCCAGAACCATCGGAAGTTAATATTAGATAGACCCGGATCTCCCGAAAAACCGGACAGGTAGCAGATATGGCCAAACCAAAGCGCATGAGCGAGATCTTCGCGTCCTCGTCAGAAAAAGACAAAGACACAACCACAGTCACAGCCACACCCCCATACTCAAGCGAAGGCCCTACACTCCCCATCATCGGCGCCCAGGAAATCGGCTCCAATCCCACCAAAAAGCGAAAAGCTTCAAACAACACTCAAAGTACTGCTCCAAAGAAGCAATCCCAAGAAGGCTCTCCACATACCATCCACCCATCTCTCTACGAACCCTGGACCCGCCTCCCACCCGACCTACTCAAGCTACTCGAATCCCAGACGCGGTTCCAAGGTACACGCAACGTTATCCCCGTCGTCTTTTCCAAGAATCAAAATGTAAAATCCGGTATCAATCGCCTCAAAACATACCTGGGTGCGTATCGGGATCCCACATCTACAATCGACATGCCCGACGCTTTGAAGCGCGAAGACGTCATTATAGCAGTATCAGCGCAAGGCGAAGGAACGACGAAACTGGTTGGTATCGTAGACATGGTTCGCAGGATCGTCGCGCCGAGTGGTAAAGAGGAGGTTGGTGATGGGCCGGTGGAGACGTGGGCGATGTATACGATGCTTACAAGTATCGATATCGAGCGGAAAGCGAGAGTTGCGGATGTGCAGAAGAAAGAGGTGGAAGAGGCGGAGAGTGAGGAGGAAGAAGAGGCGTTTGAATCTATGGATGTGGATGGGCGAGGGGGGCAAAAGGAGAAAGATGAGGTGAAGATGAAGAAAGTGCCTGTGTTGACGATTTGGATGACGAGGAAGAAGATTCCGGCGTTTAGGAATGCGTTTGGGGAGCAGATGTTTAAGGTAAGGAGGTTGGTGGAGGATGAGGATTGAACGCCTAAGCGAATTTCGGGGAAAAGAGAGTTTTGGTATATGGTATCAGGGATTCATCCGTTGGGAAATGGAGAATACTAGGCGCAAGGAAATGTCTCTGAGACTTGGGACAGAGACGTTTACACAACCCTACAAGTTGTTCAGACATGGGTGCATTGATGCCTTGACCAAAAGTCAGGGCTCGAGGCTAGGGACTGAGCGGGTTTTATTATTCATCTATACGGCGAGAAAGTACGCGGCAGATCACTCCTGGGAACGAGATCATCCAATACCCAATAGACTACGGATTTCGTATTCGATCAATAAGCTATCGGTATACTCTACAAGAGAAATGTGGGACGGTGGAAAAAGTCCGAATTGAGCATTCAAGACGATTTACAGTTACGGGATAGTTACGTTCCAGGAAACATGACGTCACGGGTGCAACCGATCTATTCTGGGAGCACAAAGCCTAGCAAAGAGCTCATCTTGCTGGTATTTGCAGAATCGATATGATTGGGTGTTTATTAATTAAGTGTTTTTTTGTAAAGATGACCCGATATCTAGTGTCTATACTTGTATCGGGAACCACTGGTTAAACTTCCCCTTAGGATCATACTTCTTCTTTAGCGTCTGCAACTTCGGAAGGCTAGATCCATAAATAGCCTTATTCGTCTCGTCGCCAAATGCGAAATTTGGGTAACTAAAAATCCCTATTAGCCAACCAATCTCTTACGATCACAAAAACGGGAAGTTGAACTTACGTAGGATCGTTCTTGGGGTCACTACTCCTCGACCACAGCGCCCTAACCTTGCTTCCAAAATCCAACGCTTCAGCATCCAAACTCGCGTCGTCATACCACGGGATGACAAGAGCCTGGGCAAATGCATCGCGGCGGAGTGCTTCGTTCAAGGCGACCGAGCCAACGGGCGCCGATTGAGCCTTGGTTAGATTGTAGCGCTCGACGAGCATGGCAGAGTTCGGTCCCTTAGCCTGGAAGCCCTTGTACAAGTCCCAGATCTGCGGCCACTTCTGGGCATTCATGCCCTTGATTGTGGAGCTGAATGTGGGTTTACGGCCGCCGCGGGTGCAAAAGCCAATGTTTGCGTCGTTCCAGTGATCGTAAGTGGTGACGGCGCTGGAGTTGGATAAGGGGCCGAGATCGTAGAAGGGGGCGAAGGCCTTGCGGCCGCTCTCAAGCGTGCCCTTGCGTAGGAAACCAGTTACAAGGATGGAAGGCTCGTTGAGTGGCGGGCCACTAGATGTCAAGACGAGGTAGACGCGTTGCTCTGGGGTAAGCGGGAGATCTTCGACAGCTTGCGCAACTTGCTCTAGCTTGTCGGGTGAGAAGAAGAGGTTGTTGATGAAGGCGGTGCGGTCTTCGGCCGTGGCTGGCCTCGCGTTGACAGTTGCGGAAACGACGACACCAAAGTTTGGTCCTGCTCCGCGAAGCGCCCAGAAAAGGTCGGGATTCGATGTGGCCGATGCAGTGAGCAATTCGCCTGCTGCAGTGACGACGCGCATCGAAATGATGTTGTCGACTCCGAAACCGACCTCGCCCATCAGGTTGCCTAGATGCAAGTCAGCTCAACTCTCTTCATATGGCTGATCGAAACAAACGCACCGTAACCACCACCGAGCATGGCTCCCAGGGCGCCAACGCAGTTGCAGTTGCCAGTAATGACCAGAGCACCTGCAGCATCAGCCGCTGCAACGACATCTCCGATGCTTGCGCCACCACCAATAGTCGCGGTGTTCTTGTCCGCAGCCACGGTGACACTGTTTAGGCCAGCAAGGTCAATAAGAACACCCCATTCGCCCAACTTGAACGTCTTGGCCCATCCAATTCCTCCGTTCTGTGTCAAAAACGATATCCCGGCCTTTGTGCAGTATTTGACCTCGGGTGCATGTTAGCCACTGCAAATGGCGATTAGTGGGTCGAACTTACGATTTTCGCAATATCGTCTTCAGCCTGCACAGTGACAGTGACAGAAGGCAAGGGTGCGTTGAAGTCACTCCATCGTGCCTTCACCTCGACGTTGACCGAAGATCCTGGGACCAGGTTCTTCAAGTCGGATGCGACATCGCGTTGCTTGAGGGCGAGGGCAGATACCGCGGCAGCGAAGGAAATCAAGAGTGACAAGACCTTCATGGCGACAGGAACAAGGTAGTCGGTGCCGAATCCATGGTAGGCGGCTCAACGGCTTTTTAATTCACATTAGGCCTTCTACTCGGTAAGCGTGCATGCCGAAATGCAATCTTCTTTGAGCCGCAAGCTACTAGAGCTGCGCAATGGACGTTGCCGCTTTGCATTGACAATCGAGTCGGTAAAATCTCATTGTCGCTAGCGAATAGGTGCATGTTGAACTACGCTGGCCTAGATCTGGGAATCAAAGCCGTTGTACAAGACATGGGTTAATTTATTAATATGTATGCTCGATGGCACTTAGTTAGCCCGACGCCCGCGGGTGTAGCCGCATTAAGGACCTCGCCCTCTGGAGCAAGCCGCTCCCGATATGCTCCCCCCCCCCCCCCCCCCGCCTCAATTGCCGGGTCGTCCCCGGCCCATGTGCCGCTCGAGAACCCCACGGACTAGAGGTGTACAGGGCAGGCATGAACAGGATCCTCGTCGTAGCAGTAGTTTCAGTATAACGTGAGCGATACTGTGGGGCGGGGCTGCGTTGTCCGTGATTTGTGTAATCCGGAAGAGATATCTTGATAATGGTACGTAACTGAGGTTACATTGACGCAGGGTATTCCCTGAAACGTGCTGTCGGAAAAAGGGAAAGACGGCGTATCATTCACAACTTGGCGTTGGGGGTGAAGGGGGGCTGGTAGTGGCGTGGTCGAAAAAAAAGGCCGAGTGAACCATCCGGCTGGGAACGCCACCCGCCAATCACCGGTTAGTGTACCTGTCACGTTCTGGCAGCGGGCCACCCGTTTGAGGATTAATCCGTGGCGTATGGAATGGATGCAACGACATACTATTGCAAAAGCCAATGCGCTAGATGTCACTGCCCGGGTACCTAGACTATCCTAACAGCGCAATATGCTTGGCCTCGGGCTTATCATTCAAGGGTTTGATGAATAGTGACCTCCTTCCTGATCCTGTGTTCGTCGGTACTACTTGGAGAATCGTGTTCCGCTGCTGTAGGGAGAACCTCCTCAGATCGAGTCGTTAGTTCTGTGTGGCATTAGCTTGTATGTTACTTGGATAGTATGTTATCGAGTTGCATTACGTACCCATCTCATCAATCGACTGGTAGGGCTTACGCGCCAGCTTGGCACTAAACGAGCTGTTTTTCGTGCCATGCAAGCCTGACGATCCATAGCCACGTCCAGAAGACCCATAGCCGTAGCCGTAGCCAGTCCGTGTCTCTTCTTTCGGGTAGAAGAAGAACCAAATGGGGCGTAGAGTGGGCAAGCATGCGCACACGAGGCCTAGGGATAATTCGATGTTCGTCCAGAAGAATACGGGGGCTGTGTAGTAAATGACATCGTCGGGGTGTTTGATATACTCTTTTGCTATCGAGTACGTCGCTACAACTCGGGTGATGCTTACAGCGCAGACACTGTTTTGTCAGTTATGCCGTGGCTCTTCGTCCTTGGAAGATTAAGTGACTTACGCCGCACCCAACGAAAGCATCACAATGACTGCTATCTTTCTCTTCATTTGCATGCGCACGCTCATGACCATGGGTATGGGAAGGAAAAGGATGGCAAGGTCCGCTATAACGTCAGTGTACTGCAGCACCAGTCAGCATAGGTTCTGAAGTTGCAACTCCAACCAGACATGAACCAGTCCTTCACTTGGAAGAGCCAAGTAGATCGTGTCATGAGCGACTTACAAGTAGTGCCAAAAACATTGGTACGGTCTCGACGCAGCTGTTCCCGTAGTAGGGCTCGATAAAGACAGTGATAGGGTAACACGTAAACAGATGCGAGAATGTGAAGCTGATGGTCCAGGCTACCACATACGCAAGCACGATGTATACGCAAATACGGAATTTGCGTACGTCGAAGATGGTCTTGTATAGGATTAGAATTGACGACTTGACGAGTCCGAGCCCAACAATAGAGATCATGTTGATAGCAAATTTTGTCTGGAGACATGTCAGCACAGAGAGTTACACAATCCTCGAAACAACTTACCTCCTCAAAGAATATCAACCCAGGGTCATCCATAATTGGTTGGCCATTTTTGTCAAGAGGCTGATGGGCGCCCAAGTAGCCATGTATCGCCGCTTTCATAAAGTTAATGGTTATCTGCGGGTTTGATCGAGTTTACTCACTGGCTAGTTGTAGAAAACAACACGTTAAGCAGACCGCCTGAACTTAATTAGCTGGATGTCTTTGTATGCATGTAGTCTCCGCTCAAGTACTTACCAGAGCACCTAATGTGAGGAAGTCGTCCCATCCAATGCGTTTAGATATCTGCTTCGCCCATATGCGCAAGCCGACAAAAAAGGCTGGTAGAATGGCGAAAGCGATCGCCAAACCAATCATTAAATTCTTCGAATAATTATGATTCATCGTGGCTATCGCAGTGAAGCCTGGATGGGATGGGATAGAGGATATAAAGAAGCCGCTCAGCGGATGGCAAGACGGGTCGTCGCTGCAATAAACCAATAAGTGCTCAGACAAAAAGGAAAAGCAAGGACATAGTACGAAGTAAAGAACGTTGGTTTTTGTGAAGGCCAGGCAAATGGGCAGCCACTATCTACATAGACGGCATCAAATGACCAGGTGCTAAGCCCAATACTAAGGAAGCGACCATGAAGAGGGATCATTCCCTGAAACACCCCTCGACTATAGCAGTTTGCGGCTCGATCTGCACCTTCAACAAGCGACTATTCGATCCCTCTACCCAAAACCGTACTGGACTTTTCCTGAGCCTCTCTGTACCTACCGACGTTTTTTCTTCTACCAGCCATGTATCATGTAGGGGGGGAAGTACCATGTCCCGTGTAATCTGCGGACCAACCAAAAGCAAGTCCCAAGCCCTAGCGGCATTCCTTAGATGGCCTGCAACACCGAGGGAGGTGAACAGGGCTTGCGACGGAAGCGACTAGGATACTCAAGGGAGCCTGGAGCTGGGTTTTCACCACTGTGAACAGGTCGATAAGTGCGCCGACAAGTAACGGCGTTACAAATCCTCGAGTTGCCGTGTTCGCCAATTTGCGCACTGCTTATTGAAGAATGCATCGACGACATGTCATCTTCCTGTCATCTGTATCACAGCAAGCACTCTCTTCATTTTTTGCATCTTCCATATGACCTCAAGAGATTTACTTTTGGTGTTTTCAGTGTCGCATAGCCTAGAGGGCAGTAGCAGTAGCGCGGTGACTGAGAACGACCCCACGCATTTGCGTGATGAGGCCAAGATTATGGTGCTTGGAAGTGGGCCCCCCCCCCCAAACGGGAGGATGTTGCAGCGCCAAGCCACGGAACGCTCAGGATCCAGTCGGGCCAATCCTACTAACAGGCGATCATGCCCAGTTCGGCGTCATGTCGACTGAGCAAAGACCCGAGTGACCTTGTGGCCACGATCCTGGACCCAATCCTATCGGGAGAGCGGCTGAGGCTTGAGAAACTTGGAACGCATACTTACGTCCCTGGGCCTGGACCGCATCTTAGTTCCAGGAGAACATCGTTAAAGCTGACGTGGGATTGGAGGCGGGAGTGTGACAGAAGATGTGCCAAAGGGATGAGGATGCAATTACACTCGGCCAATCTTGGAGATACTTCCTGGAGTGATGGGTGCATGGCGGTTAGCAGATCCATCACATGAACACCATTCGGTAGTTTTGTCCGACTTGCTTTTTGTGCCTCAAAGGATTGTATGCAAGTATTCGGGTGGATCCGATTCATAGGCAAGAAAGCAGGGCCGTAGTAATCTGGGGCATTATTTGCATTATTGTCCGAGGTGCTGCCGTCACACCTGCTGCGTCTACACATATTACAGCAAGCGACGTGATCTCGGGCCCCATATATGTATGCAGGTCTTGCCGCCCGGACGGGAGTGTGGCTTGTTTTGATAATGGTGCCCGTTGAAACTCTGAATATGAACCGCTGTCTGTGGGTTTTCTCACGGCCTTGGCTCGGAGGCACTCTCTTCCATGTTCACAATGCCAGGAGGATGAGTGTCTTGGGGAATCTGTACGCTGCTCTAGACTGCCAAATACTCGTTACTATAGTAGGCAAGTCCAAGGTACTTCAGGTTGTTGTTACCGATGATCCGCTTGGTATTCTAACCTAGATAAGTCGAGGGTACCTTATGAGGTTGGAATTTCCGGCTTACTCAAATTCACACATATAGTATGCTGTGCGAAAATCTTGTATTTTATTGGTCACCGACAGGGTCGTTCGTCTTTGAAACATACCAGGAAAGTCTCACCCTCCTTCATCCAACTCGGTTAGGTAGCCGAGCCCCCCTCTCAGAATAGCTACGATCTTGTGACGTACAATAGACATCTTCATGCTCCGCCTCTTCATCGATCACATAATTTCTTCTCGAAAAGTATATGGGCTTCGGGCTACTCAATTGCTGATCTGCCCGACCAAATGACCCTTCGAACTTTCAGTCTTCTACTTTGCTCTGGTGTTTGGTCTTTTTCATATTTCGTCTCGTCTTCCTGGACTGTGTGGTTATGAGTGCGTGATTCTTTGCAAGGTTGGATTGACTCACCAGATTCATCTGCATTGTCATCACGCTCCTCTGTTGAGGTTTCAAGCTCATCAACAGATGTAGCGCTTTCTGAATCCGCTGGCTTGCCAAGGACTTCGGCATCTGGAGACTGTCGGCGCCCGATACGCTGCTCCTCTGCTGCAAGCTGCTCCATTTCTCGATCGAGGGCCTCTATTTCTTCTTGAATAGCTCTTCTCTGTTTCTGATGAGCAATCTGCTTGTTCCACTCTGCATTTCCCTTCTCATCTTTGGCGCTAACTTTATTGACAATGTCTGCAGGATAACCACTAAACCAGTTGTTGACCCTGTGTTCTTCTTCCTTCAGTATGGTTTTGAAAAGTTTGCGGTCATATTCGAACTCTGGATCTTTCCAGTAAAATTTGCTATTCCGTACTCGGAATTCACGATGGAAGTCGCCAACAAGGTATAGACTGCCCGTCAATACCACAGGTCGGCCTCTTTTTGAGATGAACTTCGCTGCACACAGTGCTCGCAGCGCACCCTGTTTCGGCATCGCCATTCCTGTAACCCCAGGTTGTACAGACTTTGCTATTTCAAGCAGTTGATTCGGATCCATTGGCTTCACTGAAGGCATGCCATCGACTGGACCGAAAGTTGTAGTGACGACAGTGTCTCCTGGCTGTAGTAGTATCCTCAGGTACTCGTGTGCATCTTTGCCCTCAGTCATAGCAAGTACCCAGGTAACTGGCCAACCATTTTTACCCGGAAAGCCATCGCCAGGTATCTTGCCCTTGCTGTGAACAAGACGAACATAATCTTTAAGTAACTTGGCAGCATTTGGATTGTGAGCTCCATCGACTAATATCTTCGGGCCCTGCGAGTCCTTGTGGTCTCCAAAAATGAGTGGCACACTAATCAACTCCATGCGGCCATGATTGACAGACATCCGTGACTTTAATAAAAAGCGCCCGATGTCAAAAGGTCGAATTTCGAGCCCTATGCTTTCTATAGCTTGCCTGGCGGCAATGGCAGCCAAGACTGCATTGTCGCGTTGGACGGGTAGTAAAGGATGAAGAAAGGTGTTCCAATCGTGTTTGTTGAACAAGCGCTTCTGCAAATCTAAAGGTTCGTGGGTAAAACGTGGGCCTGCTTGAATGGTCTTTGCGTAGTCGTCAATTACGTCTTGCACGTTTTTCTCATTCCTCGGGTTGATGATGTAAGGCACGTTGGACCTGAGGATGCCAGCCTTGTGCAGCGCGATCTCTTCTAGAGTATCACCGAGAAAATTTTGGTGGTCACGATCGATTTTTGATATGACGGAAATTGCTTGGTTGTTTAGAATGTTGGTGGCGTCCTCCCTACCGCCCATGCCAACCTCGATAACCCCAATTTCGATTTTCTCTTCATTGAAGATATGGAACGCAGTAGCGGTCAAAATCTCAAAAGGAGAGGCAGGGATGCCATCTCTCTGGCTGAGATCCTGGTAATGGCTCTCGACCTTTCGGAAGAGCAACTCGTTAACGGGCTGATTGTTGATGGTGATGCAGTCCCATCTGCAGAGGTTAGACAATGAAGGGCCGGGCGACGGTGTGCCTACCTGTCTACAAGATGGGGAGAAGTGAATTTGCCAACCTTGATCTTCTTACGTTTGATCAGGTGCGAGGCATAATGGCAAATGGATCCCTTGCCGTTGGTACCAGCAACGTGTATCGACTTCCATGGGAATTCTGCATTCCTCAGGAGCTGGCTGATCCGTCCCAGGCCGGGCTGGATCATGGCCGTCTCTACGGGCGATGGTCTGAAACGAGGTTCCTGCAGGTGGTAGTTGACTCACTGTGGCAACTGGACCAGAGGCTGCGCGAAAAAGCGACTATACCGCAAGAGGCAACTATGGCTTGGCGAACACCACCGCGCCTGCCAGAGACGACCAGTTGTTAGGCAGTCGCAGCCTGGGGGCTGTGCAGAGGGTGAAAGGAGTATTAGAATAGCATGGCGAGGTGATACATATAACCGGTCTATTCTTTTTTGTATTTGAGGCCTACCCAGGCACCTGTTCGCTCAACTGCATCCCGTCGGCGGTTCTCTACGCATCCCCAGACGCTTCTCAGCCTTACTGCCGCTGCACTGTTTTAGGTGGGTGCGACCTGCGCCGCTCCGCCGCCTTAGTTCCCTCCTCCGACCATCCCCAGCCCACCCGTCTACGCGCGTCACCATCAACAACACAACTCCACTCATCTTTTCCAAACACTTACAACCCACTCTTTGATGCGCAATGGGCATTCCCATCGGATGGAACATTAAGCGCGACGAGGCAAAGGATAAGGACGTACTGAGAGCCGACTTGACGGGCCATCGCTCACCCATCCGCCGTCGCGTCAGACCGAACAGATCGCCACGACCAAACAGCACGCTCGACACTGAGTTCCTCATAGCCGCCTCTGGCTCTGCTCCCGTCATCGAATGGATACCACGCTCGTCGCATCGCACACGCCTGGCGCCACCACCAGTGCCTGAACTCTCGAGAACCGACTACCGCGGCAACGAGGCTGCGGCCAACTCACCTGCACCTCTGGGCCCCAATAGCACCCTGCATCGTTCACGCAATCGCCTCGATGAATTCATGCGTTCATATGCGGCGCGCAGAGCCCTGGAGACTGATCGCCCCATCGCTGTCTTTACCCCCGGCTTTGCACCCGCAGCAGCTTCACAGAGCTCAGAATCAGACACGACGCACAGCGCGCGAGAGTTTTCCCGTATGCGGGAGAGGGCGTCGTATCGCCGCGCTGCCCCTCCGAGATTGACCCGTTCACGGAGCCCCCGCGCTGACCGATCTGCGGCAAGAAGTGATACTGCAAGCGCGCCCGAGGAAGACCACGAAAGCAGTGACAACAACGCTGTAGCATTTCCGCCGTTGCGCAGAATGGGTCGCCGCACTATTGCCGACGGACCATTACCCAGTAGCTCGTTACGTGAGTCTTGGAGTCCAGTGCCTGCTCTTGATGGCTTGGGCGACCGCAATCGCAGCGTCAGTCCACTTGACGACCAACTGCACTGGGACAGCTTCCTTACGACTGTGGTTGATGACCCCGTTGCACCCACTGCTGCATCGTCATTTGCGTCAGCTGCAGCCTCGGCCTCGTTCTCAAACTCTCACACAAGTTCGCGATCAGGAAGTTCAAACTCTGCAGCATCTTCACAAACCCACCTTACAGTTCCTTCGCGACTACCAAGTCCTCCACAACACGACCAGTTCCTGCGCGCTTGCGATACTTCGGACAACGACACGGCTTCGGATACCGAAGAGGAAGAGACAGACGTGCCTGCTCCCATGCGCCGCGCCCAGGTGGAACGCTCGAGGGATGGCTTCGGTCTCTCAAACTCGACGGCTCCCCGTCGCCGAATGCGTCCATCATACTTCTCCAGCGACCCTCCCGCCCGAGATGCAGATCGCTACTCGCTCCGTGTAATTGACCGATCCCGCGACTCCAGCGACTACATCCACAACTACTACAACCGAGCCAACTGGAGAATTAGCCAGACGGAAGAGCCACAAAGGCTCCAGATGTCTTCACAGCTCGATGGGCCGGCTGACGAGCCCGCGAGCACAAGTGAGGCAGAGACTCCCCCGCTCACACGGGCCGATTCTACGCCGTTGGACCAGGAACTCCGCGACGCACGATCATTGCTTGAACGTCTTGCTTCTCGCGAAGATATCAGCGACGACTTTTGGGCCTCAGTTGGTCTCACACGATCGTTTGCCGATCCAGTTCAGCGATTCCAGGAACTTGAACGTCTTTGAAAAAAAGACTAAAAAGGATTATGTTACTATCATATACTGCAAGATGTGTCGTTTGGCTAGGCTGGCTCAGCAAATGACCATCATTTCTTTCTTTCGTCTTTGGATGTTGATGATAACCAACTATCTATTTCTCTTTCACTATACATATCACAATCTGGTAGTCTGCGATTTTTTTGGGCACCCAGGCGTATTCGGACTACCTAATGCTTTTGCTATTTTTTTATGCGAACACTTGTTGATGAACAAGGATACGGAAGGGGAAGGTGACAGGGACAAGACGAACAATCATGGCATTTCATGAATTGTATACCCATTGGACTTTACTGCAAAGCCAAGAATTAGAAGGGGAGTGTGAAGGCAAACTGCTCATGGCCTATTTACTTATTATCTAGATTAGGCTAGTTGCCGATTGGATTAGGAGAGGAATGGATGAATAGGGAATACTAAAAGCTTTATTCTGCAACGTCCTTATGGGCGGCTGCCTTTTTTCTTCTAAACTTTTGTCTTATACCGTTGTGTTGCACTGGTGATGATTGAACTTGCGAAGCTTCAATTGAATGTTGAATTTTTTTTGCCTCCACAACAAACATGCAACTATGATACACCCTTTGCTAAATGCTAACTCTAACGTGTGGTATCAAAAAGGAAGGAAAGAATGCAAAAGAAGTATTAGTCCAGTACAAACGCCATGATTACATCTTTTTTTTCTGACTGTGGAGAGCTAGAAAGATGGAAGAGTAGCTTACTCCCTCACTTAGGCGCCCGTTCAATCTGCAGAGCGACCAACTTCTCCGCGTTCTTGATCCATTTGTCGGCAAACGTCTTGTCTGTGAAGCGCTCAGCAGACTTGCGCGCACGGCGGCGCATATCCAAAGTCTCCTGTGGCGACAGTGTCAGGGCTTTGCGGAAGCCATCTGCATATTCTTGTGCAGTGGTAGCATGGAAACCTGTACGGTTCGTGTCAGCAACAATTGAACTTGCTTACAGAAAGTCTAATGTCACATATATCAGAACTTACCTGTAGGCTTTCCGTCAACTTCCACTACAATATCCAGCTTCGGACCACCGGTATTGTTGACAACAGAAATCATACCCGCGGCCTGATATTCGACCACACCAATGCCAAAATGTTCGTTCCACATGGCATTGACTCCTACGCTAGCCTTGCGCATCCACTCCAACATCAAGGGCCATGGCGCGTCGCATATAAACTCTACGTTGTCCTTGATGTGCAACTCATGCGCAAGAAGTCGCAGCTGGTAAACCCGTTTAGCATCATCGTGCGAGTTGCGCACTGAGCCTATCAGCACTAGCTTTGGAGTCTCGTTGGGGTATGCTGGAAGTTTGGGTTTGGATTGCACAAATGACGCAAAAGCCTCGAGGATGAGTTGGTGGTTCTTCTCAGGTCGGAATTGCGCAATGTAGAGGAGGTAAGGCCCACGGTTCTTCTCACTAGCCTCGGAAACTTGGACGGCCTCTGCGACTTCTTCAACTGCGACAGGTGGGAAGACGACATCAATCTCAGTTTGCTTGCTTCGCTTGTTGCGGTATGGCCCCCAGAGTGATCTGACGTGACCTTGTGTCCATGTGGAGTTGGTCATGACTACATCGATGGTGCTACCGACTTTGCTGTAGAGCTTTGCGAACAGCTCCCAGTATTTCTTCTTTGCTTGCCCACGGTATCCTGACCCAGTTCCAGCATGAACACCCTGTCCCCCCACTTGTAGCGAGTCGAGCATGTCGGTCGAGATGGTTGGGTAATGTACGTATGCGCCAGTCGGGACAGTGGGAAAGAGGAATGAAGAGAGACCGAGAGCAAATGCGTATCCCATGGTATCTATGAAGATGTCTGGGACGAGGAGTGAGAAAGCATCGTAGGCAAGAACCAACGACCCGAGAGACTGTCCTAGCAGGGTGAAGCGTGGCCATCTGCTTGCAAGCACCCAATCGCGAGTTGTCAGGTAGAGGAAGTGAACGGTTGGCGGGTACAGTTGGATATTGAAGCGATCCTTAACTCGCTTGAGTATCTCTGCCTTGTCAACATCGTGGTCACCGGTATACACGATACAAGTAGACTTTGGCCAGCGCTTTTGGTGTGCTCGGATGGCAGCCCAAAGGACTCGTTCGCCGCCACCGCCCGCATTGCTGTAGAAGTAAATTATCAGCGACTATGCTCCTGTGTTCTAAAGCTCGTCATGCATACCAGAAGGGGTGAAAGAAGCCTACGATGCCGTCCCAGTCGCTGTTCGTTTGGCCGACCTTGACTGCACTTGTTGGAGGTGTAGTCCCCACTTGTTCCCAGTCGTCATCCTCCTTCTTCTTGTCTTTCAGGTCGGCCTCATAGGCTTTGGTTTCGCTTGCTACCCTAGCCAGTAAAAGCTCGCGTCGTGTACGGGAGGATCGACGGAGATGCTGTCCCACTAGTCCTGCAAGAAAGCGTAGCGTCTTGGAGAGAAAAAGAGCGGCCACAAGTGCAGGCGCAAGCAGCGACAGGAGGATGAGCAGCACACCCATCTTGGTCAGAGCAGTGGACTGTCAATCCATGGAGGGTGAGTGTTCCGGCAGCTGTTCATGCGGTGGGATGACGGTTTCCTGGCGCCGGCCCGGGGAGCATGGGACCCTGGCGCTAGTGGTAGTGGATAGTGGGGCCATCTTCGTCTCGGGAGTCCGATATGTTCCTGTGAAGCCGCGAGCTGAAAACATCACACCACAATGCTATCCTCTTGCTCACTACGGCATCCAGCATGCCAATTACTTCGAAGGAACGTGGTGGTATCCAGAGCTTCGCCATGTCGTCCCTCGGCACGCTCATTTCATGCTTCGACACCACGACAGGATCCCATCATTGATGCTATCCTCTACCTTCCGCACGAAATGATATCGCTGATCCACACGGCTGTCCCCTGGTATGCCGCCATCCCCATCAGTGCCTTTGTCGCTCGCGGTCTGCTTGTCACTACTGCTGGAACACGTGCACGCGCTCTCATGGCGCGATACGTTGGTCTGCACCCGTTGCGACAAGCTCTTGCCTTCCAAAAGCGAGACGAGATCCTGAAGCGGGGTAATTTCCGGTCGACCCAGCAAGCTCTCGTCACAGTCAAAAAGGAAGTCAAGGACGTCACATCAGCATTGGACAAAAGGTGGAATGTCTCTCTCTCTGGTCAGATTAGTTGGACATTGGCGCAGATACCCATCTTTTTTGCTATGGCCGAAACTATACGCCAGAAATGTGGTGCCCAGGACGGATTGCTGGGTATGACCATGTCCGTTTTCAGAGGCGAGAGTACGCGGATGACGACGGAAACGGGTCAAGTTGTTGCACGGGTAACTCCCACCGACTGGTTCGAGCCAACTCTAGCCACAGAGGGTATGCTCTGGTTCCCGGACCTGCTTCTCCCGGACCCAACTGGTGCCCTTCCGTTCATCGCATCGGGCATCATGTTTGCAAACATCTACACCTCGAAAAATACCGTTGAGAGTGGTGCCAAATGGCCAAATACCCTTCGGCGAACTTTGCTCTTTGTTTCGCTGTTGGTTGGTCCACTCTGTCAGAACCTTCCCGCGGCTCTAATGCTCTACTGGTCGTCAAGTACGGCTTCGGTGATGCTGTGGAACGCGTGGCTGGACCGAAAATATCCTGCACCGCGAGGTTACACTGCATGCAAAAGGCCACTTCTCCTTCCACCAGCACCAATCTCAAAATTACGCAGGGTGTAGATGTTTGTACCCGTGTCTTACATAGGGTTGGTCGATTCCGCACAGCCACCTATTTGGTGATAGAATACTGTACACGAACCCTCGTTTTTGGTTGGTCAAGGCAAAAGTGTATGTCTCGGCGAGGAATTTACGTGCAAGACACCCAGTATCTTTGTGTGTCTCTAAACTTACTCGATGTCTGCACTAGGAACCAGTGCACATTCAAAACAGTAATAAGACCTGATGGACAATGGCCATTGTTGCCATGCATGATCAGTTTCAAGAACCTAGCTGAAGCCAACTGGCACTGCAACAAAAACCAATGCGACTACCATGTCGGCCACTGAACATTGCCAACCAAGTCAATGTAGTGGATACCAAAGTGAATCGCCCATAGCCACTGTAACAGCTGCTCAACTGGCGGAACCGCTACCACATAGCCATAGTAAACAACCCATTATACTACTAGACAGTTCAAGCTGTGATCCACCACTGTACGGCCCGGGCTCCACGCTTCGATGTACCATAATGAAGGTTCCAGAAAGCACGTTAAATTAATAAAATATAATATACTACCAACCGGAGAAGGTGTTGGTAGTATTACCAAACCATTCATTCTGGATTCCGAACTACATATACCCAAAGCATACGTTACCGAGAACAGACTCCAGCTCAGAACCGCGGACATACCCCAATCTGAACACGAGACTCTCCCTGCAAAGTCGCGTTACTAAGAGACTGTGTGTGTGCGGCTGGAGTCTATTCTATCTAATAGAACCTGGACTTTCTCTGCGAAGTCTTTTTTTGATACCCGATTGAACTAGACCGGGGGTGGGGGGCCCGGCTTGAATTGTTTTTTTTTGAGAAAAATCAATCTGACTTGCTATATAGCAAACAGAGAAAAGAAAGTCAAGTCGACGGCTCTTATAAAATAAAAATAAATGAGACCCCTCTAGAGAGAAGCTGGATTTCCCAGCTTCGAAAAAAATAGGATGTGCCTAGTGGTCATACACCCATTGAAAGGTTTATACACATTACCGAACGATTTTTAGGGTTCGAGCGAAGGTCTCGTTGATGCTCATCCGAATCCTTTTACTTTGACTGCAAAGTCATATTTTTAATACCTGATTGCGGCAGGTTGGGGTATGGCCTGCCATTTGTTTCTGAGATAATTGATCTGATACGCTATATAGCAAGCAGAGAATAAAAAAGATGTTAAAAATGGAGAGCAGTTATGTCGAAAAGTTGATTTTTGGACATTTATTTTTTCCTTTTTTTGAGAAGGAATCGGAGCGGGAATGACACCTATAAACACCAGTAGATAAACAAAACACTCCCATTATACTGCTATTGATGTTTCACACACATGCATGGTCTGCTCTGTTCTTATTTTTCCTCCTAACCCATATCCCCCACCCCTCACCCATTCATAACTTTTAATCAAGAAGAAATGCCGGCAATTCCTCTTTTAGTCTATACGTGTGGTCCGATGTTCCACCCACAAAACCATGACTACTGCCATTTCATACAAAACATTAAGATGCACATCGCATGCACAGCCCATTCAATCACGTCAATTCCACCAGTGGCCTCCCGTCTATCCAGCTTTGCCGTTCCCTCCAACTAACCCACCCATCAAACGATCCCATATTCAATCAAGCAAAAAGACGCCTAGTACATGCAAACAACGAAAAGAAAAAAACGCAAGACTTCAAACGCCGTGTTTCCCGATATGCAAATTTGCAAGATGCTATCCATGTGCAGTAAGACAGAACAAGAAAAGGAGTGAAATCCGGACAAACGCCGTCGCTAATGTTGTGCAGATAGCCGAAAACCAGTTTTAGGCAGAGGCAATAGGGAGGGGAAAGGCATAATGAAAAAGGAAGTGTATAGATACCTTACTGCTGTTTGGCGTGAAGCCTAGATATGTGAAATCTCGTATGCTGCGACCGAAGAACGGATGTTTAACAGTATCCGTGATTTAATGCAGGATAACGACACCCCTCAACCCTTGTCGAACACAATCATACGCGCCGGCTTGTTTGACTCAAGAGACGATCGGCACGCTCAAAGACATTGAGTGTGTTGGACCCTTGTGAAGGCATTCTGGGTGTATTTGGGATGGTTGCTTGGGCTGCTGCACCCAATGCAGCACTTAACGGCGTCGCAGGAACCGGCGTGCTGTACCCGCCCGACCCCTGCGATCCAAAGCTTGCCGTGGAGTAAGGCTGTCCAGAGAATACAGATGCCATTGCAGGTATTGCTGTGTTGATCGGACCAGGGAAAGACGGTCCGCCACTCGACGACATGGTTCCATTGGGCTTATGTAGAACCTTGGGTGGCTGGGTCCGTGATGTGAACGACGCTAGGCTCGGTGGACCCATCATGCCGATGTTGTTACTAGTAAGGTGTGACCACGGACTGTCGTTGATAGCCAGACTCGCTTCTTTGACCATCTTGTGCAGCGGCCGCATGAGCTGTTTGACTTCGCTAGTGAGTAGTTTGTGTTCTCTACCCTGCTGGGTGTATGCTGCAGCGAGTTCCTGCCAAGCCTGCAATGATTGTGTTAGTTGCCAGTCTTAACAGCTTGGCCTTGTGTAGGCGTGATTGTACATACCTTGACGAAACCCATACATTGCTGCCAAAACTCAGGCTGGTCCCGGGTATAGTTGTCTTTGAGCTGCATCTGTGATAGGCGAAGTGCAAGAGGGTTTGCCATTTGCTGGACTTCGTTGCTCTTGTCAATGAGGTTCGCTAGTGCCTTGATTCGAGGATCCTCGGAGTCAAGGTCACGCCGCAAACTGTCAAACTGCTCTCGCATCATGCGCGTAATCTGAGCCATGGAGTTTCTGCAGCCTTCGGATGCGTTCCGGAGCTTTGTATAGATTCTGTCAAACTGAGCGTCTTCATCCGTTTCATCAAAGCTGCTAGTAAGCGTATTGGATCGCGTCATGCCTGGCGCAGTGGTAGAAAAGGAGCCTCCCGAGCGAGGGGTTACGGCACCAATGCTCGTCAGGGTGTTTGATCGGCTGTTTTCGTTGCTGTGGAGAATGACTGGTGGGGGCATTTGCCATCCGCTCCGCTGCTGCGGCGGTGATGTCAGGAAGCGGCGAGCTCTCGACGGTCGCGCGCGTACCGTTGCGAGGTTATCAGCTCCAGTGGGTCTCGTTGCTGCAGCAGAAGTGTCTCTGAACTGTGCGCCTAGTATTGAACAAGCATTCCTCATCTCGATCAAACTTCCTTGTTGGATAAGCACAAAGGTCCGCATAATACGTGGATTTGCGTTTTGAGCAATCTCGATGCGATTCTCGGCGACTGAAAGAGTAATGGACATGAATGAGTCGAGACACCTCAGCGCGTACATGTAAACACTTCTCGACAGTTTCTGCGCTTCTTCTTCGTCCTCTTCGACTAGTGTGTCAAATTTGTGCAAGACCTCGTTAAGTGCTCTGATATTGAGGTAGGTAGTCGAGTACCTGCGATAGAAGTCTTCTTTGCGTCGCAAACTTTCTTTAGTCTTAGCCGTCAGCTTAATTGAGCGCACCATGTGCGAGACACAATCGTGGAGCTGAGAAATAGCATAAAGGAAGTTTTTTGCCGCTTCGACAACGATATCAGGCGCACGTGACCCACGTCGGTGTTCACGGACATCAGACAGCGGACGGTTTGCGAGATATCGGACGGTACCAGTGTCTTCATAGGCTCCAGATGAAGGGAAGCCGTTCGAAGCAGCATTAGCGGGGACCAGAACGCCCTGACTGAAGCCACGGAAATGGTTGGTTTGTCGCAGCTCGTTGACTGATGCCAGCTCAGACGTCTTGTTGGTGTAAATACCCATACGCTTTTGGCGCTGCGATGAGGGACCGGACCCTTCGCTCTGGCTACGGTTACGCTCGTTGTTTGGGTTCGTCAAGACTAGGGGAGCGATCGGGGGCCTTTTGGTAACAGTAATGCCAGTGCTGGCACCATTACTTGTCGTAGACGCAACGCGAAAGTGGGAACGAACTGGGATGGGCGGAATGGGATGTCCAGGAGAGTCAGGCTTGGGGTCGGAAAAGCCTTCTATATTGCCTAGACTCGGTCGCACCGGGAAGCGTCCGCCGTTTGCTCGTTTCGAGGGGCGGGGAGTTTCTGGGTTGCTCTCGGTCCAGCTCTCATCTCCCGAAAATTCGACTCGCACTCTTTCTAGTTCAACCCGCTGGCGTTCTCTGGATATGTGTTGGCGCATAAACCGCTTGACCTGCGTAGCTATGACGGCATCTCGTTCGTTCTCGTTTGCGGGTGAGGGGGCGTTGTCCTTGATGGTGCACACTTCGGGCGGCGGGAAGACCAGCGGATTGCCATCGAGCTTGAGGACCTGCAAGCTATTGATCTCTCCCAGACATACGGGCAGCTCCTCAATCTTGTTCTTTGCAATTGCCAGCACCTTGAGCGAGGTCAAGTTTGCAATCTTGGTGGGGACAGACCGGATCTTGTTCCGGCTGACGTCGAGGATTTCTAGCGAGGTCATCTCGAGTATCTAATGAGCGTCAGCGGTCTAGTCGCGACATGTGTGTTCCGGAAAGGGGGGGTCAACGTACGGCATCGGGGATCTCCCGCATGGCATTGTAGCGCACATTGAGATAGCGGAGGCGTCTGCATTCAATGAGGCGGGAGGGGAGGGTGGCAAGGAGATTGTGGGAGAGGGCGAGCCTGACATGTCAGCATTTCCCCTATCGAAGACAGAGGTAAGGTGGGGTTGTGTATCGCATGTACCTTTCAATCTCTGTCCGTATGACATCGATGACTTCGTCGGGCAGGCGGGCAATGTTCTTGTGGCCCAGGTCGATGGTGATGCCGGGCTGCTGCTGCAACTCGCGGGGCGCCTCTGCGGCGGCGCGTTGGGTGATGTCCTGGCGGGAGTGCTCGAAGGCGGCCTTTGTAAGGGCCACGACTTCGTCGTCCGAGATGGGCGTGGGCGTGTCGTTGCTCATGGCGAGCGGGCACAGGATCAGCGCGGCGGAAGTGGTGCGAGGATGGTCGTTGCATACATGCTGTTCGCGAGGACAGCAGCGGTGAGGTGAGGCTCAAGCACGGGTAGGGAGCGCCCAAGAAATCGTCGTAGTCGTCGTCGTGGTTGGTTGGTTGGGGTTAGAGTTGGTGGTGACGCCGACGGCCAGTCTAGCCCGTTTCCGCCGTGCCGTTGGCTGGATGCTCTCTCCTCTCCCGACCTGTCAGGGCCCGCCCGCCATGAAACATCTCCTTGGAACCGCCTCTGACACGCTCCCAACACTTGAAACGAGCTCTAGCACCCTCTCTGCTTGGCCTGACACACTCTCGTATATCCACCCACAATGCCATTGCCAGCCACTACACATGTTGCGGCCGGTCGACAGGGCACGTGACCATCTGTCAGGGAGTCGAGGTAAAGGAGTGTGTCACGTGACAGCCCTTACCGCTGGCTGCCCTATAACGGCTTGAAACGGCCGACGCCCTAGCCACCCGCGTAATCGACATGTAAGTGCCCGGCTCTTCAGCTCTATTTGTATTCATCACTGCCATCCACACCCGCCTTATAC